CTGAGGATGCTGTAAATCAGAGAGCACTTACAAATGAGCAAAGACTGGGAGCTGCTGTACCAGGCTATGGCAAGAAATCTGTAGTTGGTTCCCAGCACTATTCCACTACTGAGAAAGTGTTACATGAAATATCTGACTACAAAAGCGTGTAACTGCCCCTGTGACATTGTGAGGGTTGTTAGTTGTCCAAAAAGCTTGTGTGTAATAAAATTAAAAACAATGAAAGAATTGTGAAACTGTAGGTCTGTCAGCTGAGTAGCAGCAAGCTATACTCAGCTGCCAGTCCGAGTATTTCCACCTGAAGAAAGCAGGAGGTTTCATACAAAGTGGTTTTGGAGCTTTGTTTTTGTTTTTGTTTTTTTTTGAGAAAGAAAGATACCCTGACTTACATCATTCAGGACAGTCTGAAGGTATGGATTGCCTTAGAAAGTGGCTTTGTTTGCCAGCAAGTGCAAAGTAAAAGCTGGAATTGCATTTAATGTGTACAGATACTTCTGTATAGCACAGATATTTCTGTATAGCACAGAAGTAGTTTAGATTCTGGATGTTTTTCATTTTCTGTGTATTTGTACCTTTGTCTATCATGAAAGTTACATTAACTCCTTTTCTAAATTCAATTTGAAAAACACAGCATGACTGTTTTGCAGCTATACCTTGGCTATTTTTATCTGAATAATTAAAAAGTCGTGTTTATGAAATTCAAGCTGCCCAGAGAGATCATCAATATTACAACAAAACCAATCCCTGTTTTGTCAGCAATTATTTCAGAAAGATCTTGGGAGCCTGTTGGCAATGAAAAAGCCTTTTTTCACCCTCTCATAAACTCAGCCCTCACCACAAAACCCCCTTAAATTACATCATCTGCAGCCAAGGGCTCAGTGAGTTTGGGCTACTTCAAAGAGAAGGAAAGCATTTCCGTACTGCTGGAGGATGCTCTGGCAGCACACGAAGTGAGAGCTCAGCCTAAGCAGAGGTGTCACTTTGGCTGGTGACAGCTGGTCACTGTGCTTGGGCACAAAAAGGGGCTTTTGCTTCAGGCAGAGCAACCCATGCTCATTTCTGGAGCTGTTAAAGGCTCCGTGCTGTCCAAACTTTGACCACTTGGAAGAGAGAGAGGCAGCAAGTAGGAGCCATGGGTGATAACAGTGCAAAAAACGAGTGGAAAATGGATGGCCCTGTTTTATGAAGCTCCAGGAGAGATCTGGCAAATGAAGCTCTCCTGTTTAAACCCAGCTGGCAGCAGTACAGGAAAGCAAAACCTGGAGCAAGGCATTCAGCGTGAGCTCTGATTTTTAAAAAGCATACTTAGTTCAGCTAAAATACAGACAGGACAGCTTCTGCAGTGGGACTCCACAAAGACTCATCTCAACCACTGGGTTCAGGCTGTGGTTTCCACACCCCCTGCCACCTCTGTGGGCAGCCTGCCATGGTAACCTCAGGCTTTTTTAAAGAGGTGTAATGAACCCAAGGACATTACAGAAAACAAACCCAACAAACATAATGAAGATCAAGAGTCTTTATGCAAACGTACAGAATCAAGTGACACTAATGAGTTTATAAGTTCCTTCCTGCCTCTAAATCAAACTGCAGACTTCAGAAGAAAATTTGGCTTGCTATATTAACAAAGTAAGCTTAGATTTATGTTAACTAGAAAAATCTTCCTATTTAGTCCTGTTACTCTCTCTTCCTTTAGGCAGCTGCATTAGAACAGATTACAGATAAAAGTGTACTTTAACGTTTTAGGTCTTGTTTTGCTCTGTGTGCTGTATCTGAGGGATGACTGTTCCAGACTGTGCTGCACTTGGTGTGTGTTTGCAGCCAGACAGGCTGTGGGTGTATCACTGTTAGCTCTCATTTTCCCCACTCAAAAAAATGAACAGTGGTAATTTAGCAAACATGAAGAGCTGGATTCCCACCCTCCCTGAGCAAGACAGTGAGGCAGCCATCAGCCCAGCGGGCATCACCTGCAAGCTGCTTTGAGGCAAAGTGGGAAAACCAGAGCATATCTCTGGAACCAGTCTGAGACTGCAGCACCTGCAATGTACAGGAACAGAAGGCAATTCTCAGGTTCATGGACACTGCTGCCAGCTAATAATCCTCTCTAATACAAGTCACTGGCCATGGGCAAAAGGCTTTGCACCTTCCCTGGAGGAATGGACACTGCCTTCTTCCACAGTCAGGGAAAAGGCAGGCCGAGGACATACTTTTTGATGTTTTGCCTGCAGATAAGCTTGGCTATCAGACTGTCAGGCCAAATGGATTCAATACCTGCTGGTAGGAGACTTTAAAACCCCAAGAAAGAGAGGCTGTCAGAGCACCACTAGCAAGACAAGTGTGAGGGACAGGTATGAGGGTAGTTGTGTTTTATCTATGTTCTTTATTTGCTGTTAAACTCTGGCAACCAAGATGTGACATTGGGATCTTTTAAATGGCCAAGTCTGGTCATAACCAACTTCCAAAAATCCTATTTATGAGCAGGGCAGCAAGGTTGCCAGGGTATCTGTGGGGATCTGTATCTGACATACCATGAGGCACGTGTGCTCTACTGCTAAGGCTTCCTGCACTACGTTCTGGGAGGCATTGCTGTGTTCTGGACCCTCACAGCTTCCAGGCAACACCGCACCCAGAACAGGATTAACACAGTGTAAAGTCCTTCTCCAAAAGAGGGGTATCAATGTCCTTACTGAACAAATGTTAAACATCTGACTCAAGTGCTGCTCTAATAATCCTGAGGCAACTAGGCACAAGCTGGACTACCAAAACACAGCATCGATTTTCAGAGCATGAATTGCAGTAACGCTTCCTTCAAAACACCAGGTTTGCCTACCTCATCTGGGTCAGCACTGGGAGGTGAATGATTTGCTCCTGCCTTCCCTCTCTCCTTCACAGGTCTTCCCAATTGTGCTGGCCACTGATTAAAACACAGATTTTGGGATAGCTCATTTACCTCTGAAAGTCAAGCAGTAGAAGCAGCTGGGATGCGGATGCCCAGGACTTTTCTTCACCCTCACAGAAACTTAGATCCCATCTGTAACTGGATCCCTCTTATCAGTAACACAGCAAGCAATTCCCATGGAGAAACAAAAGCTGAGACCAGCTATCAGGCTATGACAGTCCAGATTTGTTAGGCTGCCTGCCACTTGAAATAAATCTTCACCCTGAGATTTGCAGGTGCTGTAGCAGAGAAAAATCACTTTTCTTCTTTGTTTCTTCATTGCACTGTTGTAAGTATTTAACAAAACCTCATGCTGCAAATGATCAGCTGTGGCATGAAGGGGCTGCTGCTCTCACTTTGCACTCTTATTTCATTACCTGTGCATCATCCGTCCTGTGGGGTGGCCCAACAGCTGTGAAGACGGTGCTCAGCCAGCACCTCGCTAAGGATGCGTGCAAAGGAGGAGCAACCTGTTTGTGGAATGAGACTTACTGGGTCCCTGGGATCTCTGATTCCATTGATGCCCGAGAGTGGAATGTCATCACAGTATCAAACACATGACATGTATCAAACACAGGACTCTTGTGCTGTAACCTGTGGCTACTGAATAACCATAAACAACAAGATAAAAGTGAGGAATAAAACAAAATGCTTCAAGAAGCTACTGTAGGAAAGTGTCAGCAGATAGCAGCCTTTCTGGTAAGGGCAGGTAGGAGGCAGAGACAGTTCACAGAATCATAGAATATCCTGAGTTGGAAAGGACCCAGCATAAGGATCCTTGAAGTCCAGTTCTTGGCCCTGGCACAGGACAGTCCCAAGAATCACATCACATGTCTGAGAGCTTCTTGGATTCTGTCAGGCTTGGTGCTGAGACCACTTCCCTGGGGACCGTGTTCCAGTGCCCACCACCACCGTCTGAGTGAATAACATTTTCCTAATATCCAACCTAAACCTCCCCTGACACAGCTTCAAGTTGCGCTCACCGATGTTGCATAGCAAAACTAAACACAAAACTGGCCACCACTGGCACTTGGAGAAGTCGGCATATGGATCTGAACTCCACGGCTTCTCTCAGGGATCTTCTCTTCCTCATCTGCCTCCTTTGTCTAATCTGTCCCACATCCCTTTACAAAGCCCTGGCCACAGACTATTCCTTCCTGGACACTGAAAATGCTTCATTTGTGTGAAGGATCAGGTCACTTTATTATGCCCCTGATGGCATAATAAAATATCTAACTTGCGGGAGCTTTTTGGAGCAGCTCTGTACACACCACAGCATTTGATGACAGACAAAGTATTTGGGCAATGATATTAATCAGAAAGCAAAGGACATTATTAGTGTTTTGAGGTCAGCACGATATGCAGAGCCATTGATATTCGGCAGAACGTGAGGTGAAATCCTGCCCATGCCACCACGGCGCACCCACGGCTCCCGCTGCAGCAGGTGGCCGCAGGCAAGGGAGTGCCGGGACCCTCAGTGCCCGTAAAATCTCATGACTTTCTGGGCCCGGAGATTTGCTTTGAAGCCATTTTGCTTCCTTTTCTGCCCATAGAGGTGTTTTCCTCAGTCACCTCATCGAGCATCAGAATAATAGAAAGAAAATCACCGCGGTGTTGACAGATGCAGTGTGGCAACACTCAGCTGCGGCCAGGCACGGGGGTGGCTCCTCTGTCCTAAATACGGGATGAATACGAGGCTTCTTATGGTCCTCCAAGAGCAGCGAAGCGATGCTCGGACCGCGGGCATTTTAACAGGGCCGGCACACACGCAACCCCCCCGGCGTGACACGTCGTCTTTCCCCCCTCAATTCCGGACAGCGGTTACCGTGGCCCGGGCACTCCGCAAGGGCAGGGCAGGACAGACCTGACTCGGTCCACCCCACCTCCTCCCTCTCCTGCCCATCCCCTCCCTCCCCAGCCTCGTCGCGCAGCCGCGCAGCGCTGGCTGAGGGAGCCGCCGCAGCCGCCCAGCGCGGCGCGGCCCTTCCCAGCCGCCGTGCCGGGAAGGGCAGGGCAGGGCAGGGCTGGGCAGGGCAGGGCAGGGCAGGTGGGGCTCGGCGGCTCCGCGGCGGGGGATGCGGGTGCCGGGCGCAGGATGCTGTGGGGGGTGGGCCTGGCGGCGCCGCGCTCCTGCGTGGCGGACCTGAGCCGCAACCGCAGCCTGTCGCTGGGCTGGTGCGCGGGGCCCGAGGAGCCGCCGCCCGCCTTCTATGGGGGCGAGATCGTCGCCTTCCCGCTGTCGGGCGGCGGCGGCACCATGGCGGCGCTGGGCTCCGACTCCTGGTGGAAGAAAACGCTGTACCTGACGGGCGGGGCCCTGCTGGCCGCCGCCGCGTACCTGCTCCACGAGCTGTTGGCCATTCGGTGAGGCTGCGGGGGCCGCCCGGGCCGGGCGGGAGCGACGCGGGGGATGCGGCGCTGGAAGCCGAGGGCGCTCCCGCCGGGATGAAGCGGCGCTCGGAGCCGCTTGTACCTGCGGGGGCAGGCCGTCGAGGTCCGGCGGGTTGGGTTCTGTCTTTCACCGTGTTTTTGCCATTTTTTTTATTTCCCTTTTCCCCCCCCCCCGTTCGCCCTTCGCAGCAGCCCAGGAGGTGACCCCGTGGCGAGCCCTGCGCTTGCCCCCACAGGTGGTCCAGGCTGGGCCCTCGCACCGCCTCCGGACCCAGGCAATCAAAACCTGCAGCAGCCCCTTAAAGGCGGACGAGTGTGTTGTCTTGGTCAGGGTTTCTCCTTTGTGTATTTAATTTACTGATGTATCATGCACCTGTCCAGTGTTTCCTTTTTTTAAATTCCATTTCATTTTTGACAGGAAAGAGGAAGAGCTTGATTCAAAAGATGCTATCATACTGCATCAGTTTTCAAGGCCTAGGAATGGTGTTCCGAGTTTATCGCCATTCTGTCTGAAAATGGAAACATACTTGAGGATGGCTGATTTACCCTACCAGGTAAATTGTGCAGTTTGCCTTTGCATTGCAGTTTGCTGTAATTACGTGAAATGGGACATAGGCATCCCATCTCTCTCCCCCCCCAGTCTGTCTCACACAGGGAGATGTAAACATACACCTACAACTGGGTGGGTACACCAACACTTTTATATCTCTAGTTAAATATGGTGTATAGCCTTTAAAGACGTGACTTGAATAAGATTGGTCTGGAACAGCTGGAGATTGAACTGGCACAGCTAAATGAATGTTAAGAAGTTAACTTGGCTGGAAATGCTGAAGTGGGAGAGTAGTTTGGAGTTTCTATAACACTAAATAACACCCCAGAACTAAAGCGTAACATTATTTGATCTTTGAATTTCACCATGCTGAAGACACCATGATTAGATAGCTGCAGCTTCTTATTTTCCTGGAGGGTTTTTCTATGGAGCTCTCCTGGGAAGAAGTGCTTGCCTTTTGCTTCACCTCCCATGACTGGTGCTTCCTCCACGGTGAGGTAAAACGGGTTGTCTTTTAGAGGTCATGAATACTTCTCTGTAGTTGTGGTTGGGTGCTTCTCATGCCATCTTCCCACAGGGGATGATGAAGCCTGAGCTTCTCCAGTGAATGAAAGCTATGAGAGTGGAAACTTGGATCTCTCAGTCTCGCCCATTAGCATCAAGGGTTTAGTTGTGACACTGCGAGTTTGGTGCACACCTTGTTGTGGTGTTGGCAGGCTGTGCAGCACACGTGCTCTTTGAAACAGGGTGGTTTTCTTTTTGTTTGTGTTAAGCACTGATTGCCTTTAAGATGATGCAACAGTGATGATATATAGAATTAAGATCTTTGGATCTTTGGTAGAAGAAATGTCTGCAAGATGTTAGGAAGAATGCTTTGTTTATGTCCAGTGTTGTACATAGGAAAACCAACCCTATTACAACTTTTTTTTTTTAGCACATTCATAGTTGTTATTCATTCAGCTTCATTTGTGATTAAATTCCTTTACATCAGAAGTGAAACAAAACCTAATGAGTACATTTTGCTTAACTCTGTATAAAAAGCCTGAGTTTAATGTTCGTTATCTTACAATTTAATGGTACTTGAATCAGATACTTTGGATTACTAAAGAGGAAGATTTCCATCCCATGGGATGTATTTTCCTCATTTAGGTTTACAGAACTTGCAAGATACTGAAGTTTGTACAGGCTATTGGACCAGGAGGACTTTGTGCACATTGCTTCTCCACCCAAAGTAATTTGGGTAGAAATTGCGTGTTTGAAGGGAAGACAATATTGGTGAGATCTGTTTTCTTCCTAATGGCAGTTGATGCAGTTTAAAGGTTTGTGATGGTCAAGGTTGCTCTGGTGGAGAGTAGCTGAAGAAAGCTGCAGTATAAAAGATGGTTGTGACAAGATGTGGTCACTTACTTCTAAAAGATGACATT